TCACACACACACACACGCACACACACACACACACACACACACACACACACACACATACATACATACATACACACACTTTACACACACATACACACACACTTTACACACACATACACACATACACACACACACATACACACACACACACACACACACATACACACACACACAAACACTCACACACACACACACGCATACACACACTTTACACACACATACACACACACACACACACATACACACACATATACACACACATACATACATACAAACACACACACACTCACACACACACACGCATATACACACTTTACACACACACACACACATACATACACACGCATATACACACACATACATACAAACACACACACACTCACACACACACACACGCATACACACACACACACACACACACACACACACACACATACATACATACATACACACACTTTACACACACATACACACACACTTTACACACACATACACACATACACACACACACATACACACACACACACACACACACATACACACACACACAAACACTCACACACACACACACGCATACACACACTTTACACACACATACACACATACACACACACACACACACACACACACACACATATACACCTCGCACGTGCTGTTGTCAACAGGTAGATGAGTGGATGGGCAGGGTGGGAAATAGAAGGCCCACTAAAACATTCGGTTATAACTTCAGAAAGGGAAACTGATCTGCAAATGTTCGATTTATTGGAACAACACAAATTCAAAAGAGTGTTGGAAAACATGAAGAGTGTTGGAAAACATGAAGAGTGTTGGAAAACATGGTGTGGAAAGAGGCTTCCTCTTCTGCTCCCGTAAATTTGCCATCCTTTGGGTCGCTTCTGACAGATGACAACAATAAAATCTCCTCCACTCCTCTCGGCTCTCTGCTTTCTTCAGTGTGTCCCGCAGCTCCATGGCAGTCCCTTCTCGGAGTACATGATTGGTCACAAAAACATGAAATAGACTTTCACAGGCCATAGAAGTTAAATAGGAAAATATGTCAATGAACAGTTTCGCTACAAAAAGTGACTTATCCATGTTTTCTTCGGTTTTGAGAAAAATGAAGACTGCTGTTCTTCCATTTACTGAATAATCTTGAGCGACCTTGTTTTTACAGTATACATGATGTGTAAGTTTTGATTGATCTTTGGTGAAGGATGAAATCTATGTTGGGTTTTTAAAGTTTGAATAGGTGAGATCTCCACACAGTTTTGACAAAACGTGACATCATCATTCATCATATCTACTTTGATGTTCGTCCTTCGCTGTGCTAAGATGACCTTGACTTCACACCATTTGTGTGTATGGAGATGGCTGATGGAGATGGCTGACAAGGCCGATCTCCGCTCGGAAATGTCTGTGACAGTGGGGGCAGGGGATGTTTGGGGCTGAACTAGACTGGAAGGTAGGGCTCTCTCGGTCTTTTCTCAGCTTCCCCCTCCATTCTCTATATATGTCTTCATTACAATGATAAGAAAGGAAAAGAACCGCCGACAAACTAAACTTTCGTCAACGACAAGTGAAGTCAGGTGACTCGTAGAAAGAGCTTGATTGGCCCGCACACGATCGCGGTTTGTCATAAAACTGTCCCCGGGGTTTTATGCACCCTGCATAATTTAGCAAAATTATATAATTTTTTGCATAATTTCTGATTATTTTCCTTTATTATTCTTTGTTAAAAATAACAGAATCGCATAATTTCAGATTTTGTGGCTCAGTTTTCATAATTTCTGGGGGTGGGGGGGGTGTTTGGGGGTTGTTGTTTTTTTTTGCATAGAACTGTGGGGACTGATAAAAGATCTATCGCTTTTGTCGCATTTTGTTAAAAACAAAATCAAAACAAAGAGTCAATTTCTGCAATTCTTTTTACGGAGCAAAATGAGCGGGGTTTTTAAAAAAGAAAGTTTAGGCTGAAATGCACTGCACCTTTCTATTTCTAGATACGACAATACATTTACAGTGGAACTCGGATTCAACTAGCTCAGATTCAACGAGAACTCGGATTCAATGAGAAGAGACAGATTCCCCGGGTTTTTTTCTTCTTTAAAATCAATTTTAAAAATAACCCGGATTCAACGAGCACTTAAATCAGTGAGCTCGGATTCAACGAGGTCGCTCCTATGGGGAACAGCCCCCACAGACGTGGCTTCTCTCATTTTTTTCCCAGAACGAACTTTATCTATTCCCGGAACCCATCCATTACACCTGCATCGTGAACCATTATTCACATAGCCGATTGCATGCGACCAATCAGCTGCCCTTTTTTCATACCAACACATGCGTTGTTGGCACGTGCACGTGTCTACTCTGGAGTGTGTCGGGGTCGGAATGGCGGCCTGCACACGTGTGACTGTGTGTGCGTGTCGGCGAGGGAGGAGGGGGGCACTAGCGGTCCGGGCGCTTTTTTTTTCCCTCGGCAACTGATCATTATTACAATGATAAGCTAGTCTTGACGTAGATGTACGTAATGAATTTTGTGCTGGTCTATGGAATCAAAAGTTGCCGTATGCTAGGCTCTACACAGCAACACAACTTTTTGGTAAACAATCGAGACGACACATGCGTGTGCATTTGAATGAATCGGTCTTTTCTTTTTTTTTTACACAGCTCATAATATGCAGGCATTTCAGGCACTACTTGTGACTTCTCTTTATTCATTACTTGTTCAGTGCCAGTAATTATCTACACTAAACCTCGTGTTTGCTATAACGAGCACTCGGATTCAACGAGATTTTAGGCCAGGCCCGGCGACCTCGTTGAATCCGAGCTCCACTATACTAGTTTCGGCCTAACTTCATAAATGGCATTTATTGCGTTATGTCGTTAAGCTGTTATATACATATGCGCGTGTGTATGTGTGTGTGTGTGTGTGTGTGTGTGTGTGTGTGTGTGTGTGTGTGTGTGTGTGTGTGTGTGTATGTTCGTGTGTGTATTTTATACATTACACGTACATGTATATATATTTGAGCACGTGTGTATCATTGTGCCATTGTATGCATGTATGTAGATGAATTTGTTTGTGCACATTATTACGCTCTTGTCTTAACGTCAAAGGAAAAAATCTTCAAAAAATAATATTTTTGTGCGTATGCATTTATTTTATAATCTTCTAGGCCGAGGCGATCTATTTACCCTGGCCCTGGTGGTGCATGTTTTTGGCGGGAATCCTCATCCTCCTCTCGATCATCTGGATACCGGTTGTTGCCCTGACAACCTACCTGTCGGGACGGGGGTTACTTAAACAGGACAAGCCCACCAACTTCCCCCTGGAGACACTGAAACGAGAACGAGGCCTCTCATCCACAGAGCGACCACCGTCCAGCAGGTTCCAGAAAGTTATTCTTGGATTTGAAGATTGACTATAAGATAGAAATAGATCTATAGATTTGAAGTAGACTTATAATTCTATTGTTTTTTTACTTGAAGATGAAGTTGAAGTTGAAGAGGCACACCACCGACTTTCTGACACGCTTGATGAGTTAGAAAATAATGAGCAATGTCAACCACCCAGTAGGGTGAAGTAAGTACAAAGTATGATACGATCCATAAAGCAGATGTTCGACGTTTGACTTTGAGTCGAATTACCATATGTGTGGGGCAGCGTGGTGGAATCAGGCTCTCGTCAATGTTTGGGCATGTAGAGTTATTGGTATCATCTTAAAGCTTATTGACTTGTCTTTATTTGGATGAGAAAAAAATCCATTTATCTTGAATACAAGTCGAGATATTTGCGAAAGAAGGAGGTGGGGGTCACCTGTTTTCAGAGGTAAAATTAGTGAGAAAATGGCTGTCAAAGATTAGTTATTTCCTTAGCTTAGGAGTCCGTGGTAACGGAAAATTTACATTTTTGTGCCTTTAATCAACGCTTTTCAGATAAATCCACTCAGAAATGGGTTCTTTAATGTGAATGAAAGGTGCTGAGTTAAAACAAAAAATTTGATAAAAATTCACAAACCTGCGGAAAAATTTGATTATTTTAACGAGAGCCTGATTCCACCACGTTGCCTCACATATTATTGTTTTCCTTGTCCTTCGACCCGTGTGTCCTTTCAGCCTGGTGTACTGGCTAAAGGCCGTAGGCTTTGCCCCTAGATTATTTAGAATAACTTGCACTAGGTCTGAAAGTGAAAGTGATGGGGCTTGAAAAAATCTAACAACAACGGAGTATAGCACCTCATGGTAGTGCCGGTACGTCATAAAATTATTCTGTCACCCCGGTTTTATGGTTTTTTATTATTATTATTATTATTATTATTATTATTATTATTATTATTATTATTATTATTATGCAAACGGGGCCCCAAAATGTGAAATTGTGTGGTTCTGTTAATTTTAATAAAGAATGATAAAGGAAATTAATCAGAAATTATGAAAAAAAAAATCAAATTTTGCTAAATTATGCAGGGTGCATAAAACCCCGGGGACAGATTATTAGCATATAAATTATATAATAAGACTCAGCTTTTCTCTTTCTAGGAGCGAAGTAAAATAGTTGTTGAAAGTAATGGAAAAAATAAGTTTGGTAAATTCTGCTGTTGTCTACTGATGGGAAATTGTGAAACCATAAATTATAAAGGGTTTGCTGCTTACCCTATATCCCCTTCTGTACATAAATGATAATTACTGTAATGTTGCAAATTACAAATGACTATCTTTTAATATTTTAAGACATAAGTGGAGGAACTTTTGTATTGTAGACCAATGTGTACTATACAGAGACACCATGTTGGCATAATCTCTTGATAAATATAAACTTATTACTACTGAAGCTCAACTTGAGTCATATTATTGTGTCTCTCTGTCACTGTCTCTGTCTGCCTATGTCTGTCTGTCTGTCCTCTCTCTCTCTCTCTCTCTCTTTCTTTCTCTCTTTCTGTCTCTCTCTCTCTTTCTGTCTCTCTCTCTTTTTGTCTCTCTTTCTCTTTTTGTCTCTCTTTCTCTCTCTCTCTCTCTCTCTCTCCCTCCCTCACTCCCCCCTTCTCTCTCTATCGTCTCTCTCTGTTTCTACTTTTTCTCTCTAGTGTACACCCATAGAGGAGTTTATAATATACAAACACAAAAACGGCGTAACTACCAAAATGTCAGGTTTACTATTTTGTAAAGGTAAATTGCACAAAACCATCAAAATATTGGGCCAGGCATTCCGGCAGACATTAACTCTATCTGACTTACCAATAATTTACAGAGTGCCACACGGTCCCTGATGAGTCGCCTACACGTTCAAAGTTTTAGGTTTTTTTAGTTTTAGTAAGAGTTTTACGGCACTTGCAGCACAATAAGGTCATAGAAGTGCCGCAGATTCGAGGAGTTACAAGAGAGTAACAAACACAAAAAGACAAGGAGGGGAGATAAAGACGATAGCTTTTTTTATAGGAAAGAAGAAACAAACCACACCAGAGCACCCGCCAACCACCCACTCCTACACGTTTAAAGCTGCACTCATCGTGAGTCAGTTGAGTTGAGTCAGGACACCGGTTGGTGCTTACTGAAAGTGTGAAAGTTACTGACAGCTACTGCTACAAGAGAGTAACAAACATAAAAAAGAAGAAGGGGAGATAAGGACGACAGATGTTTGATAGGAAAAAAGGAGCAATCCACACCAGAGCACCCGCCAACCACCCACTTTGAATAAAGAAAAGCACACCAACACACTGATGAGCATACAGCGCAGGGAAAAAGTAAGACAAACAGAAAGAAACAACGGAGGGAAAGTAAAGAAGTAGGACAGTACAGCACTGCTAGCGTTAACATTGAAAATGATATAATATTGTAGACCTCTCTCTCTGTCTCTGTCTCTGTCTCTGTCTCTCTCTTGCCCCTTTTAACTCCTAATGGAGCATAGGCCATCAACAACATTTCTCCAGCGAAGCCTGTCCTGCGCATTCTTATCTAGCTGTTTCCATGATGTCCCCGCCTTTTCCATTTCCGCTTGTACCGCCCGCCTCCATGTCATCTTTGGTCTTCCTTTCTTACGTTTTCCTTGTGGATTCCACGTCAAAGCCTGTCTGATAATGCTTGTCGGGGGTCTCCGCATCTTACAGGCACAAAAAACGGTGTTTGTTAGGTGCTTCGCTGTCGCAAGAAGTAAAGGAGGCCCGAGTTCTATTCCCGAATGGGGAGAGCATTTTTATCGAGTGTCACGGTCTTTCTGCTGAGATGTTGTATCCCTCTCAGCCCAGGCTGACTCAGACAGATAGGGTACGAAGCCCTCCTCCTAAATCACATGTAATACATTGTGTAGATGGGGACGCAAGGAACACCTAGGTTAAAAAATAAAGAAGGTGTAACTTTTAGATTCATTTTTAGTAGAGGTTTTACGGCACTAGCAACTGCATAAGGTCATATAAGTATAAGTGCCGAAGATTAGAGTTGTTACAAGAGAGTAACAAACACAAAAAAGAAGGAGGAGAGGTCAGGATGATAGATGTTTGATAGGAGAGACGAAGCAAACCACACCAGGGCACCCGTCAACCACCCACGAGGTGTAACGTGAATTGCAAGGCACGCACAAATACTCAGGAGACAAACAAACAGACAGATAGACAATCAGACAGACAGACAAAAAGACAGACAGACAGACCGATAGGAGGGAGTGAGATAGAAAGTTTTACTATTCCATGCATGCACAGTTCACTTTTTCTAAAGGCATTTTGATGTTAGTTCTGAACAGAGCATATCTAATTCAAATGTTCTTGTTACCATGGCTACAGAAGTGAAAAGAGAACGATACAATTTGTTGATTATTGAAAATGTATTTAATCATTTGTACAATACATTAATAAGGCAGTTTTAAGTAGCATCACCGTCTGAGAGGCAAAAGCCACACAATGCTTTATGATAAGGTTATCTCAACTTGTACATATGGCATGGCATATGGATCAACTACAGTCATAACACACAGACATTGTCTGTCTGTTTGTCTGTCTTTCAGTCTGTCTGTCTGTCTGTCTGTCTGTCTGTCTGTCTGTCTGTCTGTCTGTCTGTCTGTCTCTCTCTCTCTCTCTCTCTCTCACACACACACACAATCTCTCTGTCTCTGTCTCTGTGTCTCTCTCTCTCTCTCTCTCTCACACACACACACACACACACACACACAGACACACACACACTCTCTCTCACTCTCTCACTCTCTCTCTCTCTCTCTCTCCCCCCCCCCTCTCTCTCTCCCTCCCTCCCCCTTTTGCCCTGAACTGAAATGGGTATAACTTATAACCCGCAGAAAAGGAATCTCCACCTTTCTATATTCTGGGCAATCTTGTCTATTCTATCTCCAGCTAGCTGCCCTTATCTGTGAGATCCTCCTCTACTGTCTATCAAACAAACATTTTCAGACACACAACAGCAAATCAGTTCTCAGTGCTGATAATGAGAAAAGGTCAAAAAAGAGGAATCCCAAAATTTCAACATAGAACTCTAATACTAACTACAATAATATAACACATACCTTTTAAAAACTTTTGTAGTCATATTTTGGAAACAAACAAAAAAAAGCGGAAATCCGCGGATCCGCAAAAAATTATCAGCACCGAGTTCTATCTTTCCACATGTTTTCTGGCCGCAAACCATCTATCCTCAAAATTATTGTGCGTTTTTTTTCTAGTGGTTGACAGTGTTTTATTAACTTAGTAAGAATTGCATTTTGAGATCCAAAAACACAGCTCGAATAATACGATTTAGTTTTAGTAGAGGTTTTACGGCGCTCGCAACTGCATAAGGTCATATGAGCGCCAGAATATTAGAGGTGTTACAAGAAAGTAACAAACATAAAAAAAGAAGAAGGGGAGATAAGGATGATAGATTTTTTATAGGAAAGAAGGAGCAAACCACTCCAGAGCACCCACCAACTAATACGAGCAGACAAATACTTCTCTCCCACAATCTCGCTTGATTGTGTAAAGGGAAGCACACCCACACAGTAATGGGCATTTAGTGCTGGGATAAAGTAAGACAGACAGACAGACAGACAGACAGAAACAACAGAGGGAAAGTTATGAAGCAGGATCTACCACTGGCGCCCTCCAACCTCCCACAAAAGTTCACTTCTCCTTTCAGCTCAAACATCAACGAGTTACCACTACCGCCCTGTGATCCCTCCTCACAGACAGAGCCACCCTTATTCAAAATTTGTTCTCTTGTTTCTATAAAGAGCTGCACATAGACACAATAATGGTCATTTAGCTTCAGGGAAAATGTAAAACAGACCCAAAAAAAAACAAAAGCGGGAAAGCCAAGAAGTAGGACATACCAGTAGTGCCCTCCAAACACCCTCATTCACAGTAAGGTAAAAGGTCGCCACCTTGAACCTGAGTTCTTTGCCCTGACCCCAAGCCTGACCCCGCACCACACACCCTCATCCACAGCCAAGGCACCTACGAGGGCAGAGAAGAACTGCCACCTTGACCCTGAGTTCAACCTTGACTCTGATCCTGACCTCCACCCCACGCACCACACACCCTCATCCACAGTCAAGGCATAGATCTACGAAGGTCGCCACCTTGAACCTGACCCCAAGTCTGACCCTGCACCACACACCCTCATCCACAGCCAAGGCACAGATCTACGAAGGCGAAGAGCTGCCTTCTTGACCCTGACCTTGACCCTGACCCTGAGCTCCACCCCACACCCCCAGCTGCTGCAGGCCCCAGCGTCGAGAGTCCACCTCCTTCTGGAGCTGTGTGAACTCTGCCACCAGAGACTTGAACTCTTCCCCTATGGCCTGGTAGCCCTGCAGGCTGTGCTGAGTGGCCGCCAGCTCCTGCTGTGTCTGTTTCAGAGCTTTGTCCAAGTGGCCGCTGAAATGAGAGAAACGTTCGTTTTAAGTGAAGAAATGCACTCGCTCCGGCAACTTCTGGCAGTTTTAGTTTTAGTAGAGATTTTACGGCGCTCGCAACTGCATAAGGCATAAGGTCATATGAGCGCCAGAAGATTAGACGTGTTACAAGAGAGTAACAAACATAAAAAGGAAGGAGGGGGAAATAAGGACGATAGATGTTTGATATAGGAAAGAAGGAGCAAACCACACCAGAGCACCCGCCAACCACCCACTCTGGCAGTTTCTTGGGATTTTTTTGTTTGTTTGTTTTTTTACCCCATCTGTACGCCCTGTGGTCATTGTGTATCCCCGGGGTTGTATTCTTCACATTTTAGAATACTTATAGTGCGAAGATCTCTTTGAAACTTTCAGAATTTCTCCAAAAAATAATTCAGTAAGAATTTTATGGCATTTGCAACACAAATAGGTAATATAAGTGCCAAAAGTTTGAGGTGTTACAGGAGAATAAATACAAGAAGTACAAATAAAAGGAGGACGGATAAGGATGCAAACCACACCAGAGCACCTGCCAACCAACCACACATTCACTCACCCCCCCAAAAGACAGAGAGACTTGTTTATTTATTGCATAAAAAGAAGCACTACAAGCTAGAATGAGTGAGAGATTTGTTTGTTCCAAGTAAAAAGAAACAGTTGAGCTGGACGGAAAGAGAGGTTTGTTTGTTTCAGTGAAGAGAAGTTGGAACGATCAGAGGTTTATTTGGTCGCTTTTATGCACAAGGGGGCTATCCCGAAAAATGTTTTTGAGAAAATCGAATGTAAACTTTTTGGACCCTTGTTCAGTTTCTTTAAAAGACAAGGAGAGTTTTCTCCATAATCAAACAGGTATAAGCACCAATGAAACCAAACTTCTTTACGTAGGGCAATGCCCACTTTAGGTATGGGTAAAGATTTCTGGAAACCCCTGAAATCTGGGTGAGCCCGCTTGTCCTTAAAAGCGACCATTTGTTTGAGTAATGAGAAACACTCATTCCAGCAGGAATGAGTGAGAGATCTGTTCGTTTTAGTGAAGAGGAGTGCTCACTTGAGCTAGCATGAGTGACAGGTTTCTTTGAGCAAAGAGAAGCAGTCAACACAAGTTTACAGCCATAAAACACTGGGGAAAAGAAAGAATGAAAGACAGAAACAAAAGTGGAAAAGAAAAGAAGAAAGATCTACCAACCACCTACATGAGAGAGGAAAGAAAGGGAGATGAGTGAGGACATATAAGATGAGAAAGATAGAACAAGAAACTGTATCTTCATAATAATATATGGCTCTTTTCGTCTAAGCAGACAGTCAATTTAGCTTAAGATGGTCTAAAGGCTATCTTCAAGCAGCTTCTTTCATGGCTAATTCTTCCTATGTTTGAAGCGCAGATTCTGTTGCAGTGCTTGCATGTTAGTGTCGTAGATTGAAGCTCTGCATTTCCGCTGTTTTCCTTTCGTCGTTGGCGTTTCTCAGCCTGGTGGTTTCAAAGGCTGTTCTCTAGCATTTTAGTTCTTTCCTTTATAATATTCCTCCATGTCTTCCGGTCCTCAGCTATTTCTTCCCAGGTGTTAACATCTACTCCAAGCTTAGATAAGCTGTTTTTGCAGGTCATAATAAGATCAGATAAAAATGTTCCTTCTCTTTCCTAGGACAAAAATTCTCTTTACCTTTATAACTTCCTGAAACACCACAAACACAGACATCAACATCTGCAGTGCTGTACAAACTCAGACTTGTAAATATTGTTTGTTGGATGCCTACAGTAGACATACATTTATAACTGATAATATATCATCTATAGATATGACTACAAGAAACCATGTATCATGTCATTTTGTTGCGGGAGGGGGGGGGCCTCTGTATACACCTTTTTTTTTTTTTGGTAAGGGTTGTACTGCGCTTGCAACTGCTTAAGGTCATAATATGAGCGCACGGGACACATTAACCTTTTCAAGTTGGTAGGAAATTTTGAATTTTGCTCGGGTGGCGGCCGAAGCCTACTCTCCGATTTTGGACCGCCAAGGGATCTTTAACGTGCGCAACTTGCACACGGGCCCTCCGAGATTTTTCGCACTCTCATAATTTTAATTACAGTCAAACCTGTGTAAGACGGCCACCCATTGTCAAGGAGAAAAGTGGCCGTATAAAACAGGTGGCCGTCTTAGGCAGGACTGATCAAGATGAAGAAAACAAACCATTCCCATCTGAGGTCCCAATCGAAAGTAGCCGCATTGTTTTTGTTTTTGTTGTTGTTGTTTGTAATTTTTATTTTGTTGCTGATTTTGCACAAGGGTGACAATAAAACGAAATGTATCAGACGAGGAAGACCCAGTCCATGTTAAAACAAACACATGAGTCGCCACCACTCGGAGAACGAGCCACGCTTCTGTCACAAGTTCATGTTGAAGTCCTTTGTTACTTTGTTACAGACTGGGTAAACAGTGACGATTTGTGTATGAGTTATCTGGGCGGGGCGTATGAGTTATGAGGGATACACAGGCTTACTTCACCAACAGCTGAAAATTAGAAGCTATTGGTCAACAGTGGGAGGGGCCTGCGCAACATGATCGGTTGGAGGGACTACCTAACAGCAACGACAGGTGAATGAATTATGACGGCTTGCCCACAACGCAAGGGGCTAATGCACAATTTATGACAAAACGTAATGGAGTCACTAAGGTGGCCGTCTAAGACAGGTATTATTTCTTGTTGTGATAGGGGTTGTGTGTTAAAATATGGTGGCCGCGGCCGCGTTGGACAGGTGCCCGTTTTACACAGTTAAATTATATAGAAAAAACGCAAGGGGGGAAATGGAAAGTGGCCGTTTGTACAGGTGACCGTCTTATAGAGGTGGCCGTCAGGGCAGGTTTGACTGTATTTAAAAATTCTGCATCAAACAAAAAAAATGAATTCCAAAATGATTATTAACATAATTCTAATGAACTAAAAGAAAATTGAAAACTCAGTTCGTGCTAGAACTTACTTCAAAATGAACAAATTTTCCTCACCTGATCTTTTTCAGTGCTTTCAGGGTCTCAGTATCATACGTCTCGCAGAGAATCTGCATCTTTGTTAGTCTGAAGATAAAAAGTTTAGCAAAGTATTCAAATTCATATTCAGAGACTACATAAAAGAAAGAGCGTCTCCAAACAGAATTATTCCTCGCTAATCAGTCCACCGGAACAAATTCCATTGTCTGGAGACAACAATAACAAGAAGAAAAAAATTCTAATATCATATAATTATATTTGGTCGCTTTTAAGGACAAGCGAGATTTCAGAGATTTCCAGAAATCTTAATCTACACCAAAAGTGGGCATTGCCCCACCTATAGAAGTTTGGTTTCATTGGTGTGTATATTTGTTTGGTTATAGAGAAAACTCTCCTTGTCTTTTATAGGAACTGAATAAGGATCCAAAAACTTTACCTTCAATTTTCTCAAAACAGCATTTTTCGGGATAGCCCCCTTGTGCTTAAAAGCGACCAGTTGTTATTGTAACTATTTTACAACACCATCAACACAATCTACATTATTTAGAAGGTAACCTGCTTTGACTGCCTGTCAGGGCTAAGCCAGGCTGTAAGTGATACAGTGTCCCAGCAGACAGATTGAGATACTGGATTTGAACTCCTGGTTTTGTTGATGAGATAGACAAGAGCCTAACTCACTCAATCCCGCGAGTTTTTCCTGAAATAGTACCCAGAAACCTGTCATTTTGGCACTTATGTAAGGGCCCACGCAGATGCCCTCAAACCATCCAGCTCTGAGAGCATACAACATTAAATATTCTGGATGGAGAGCCAGAGGAAGACCAAGGCGACGATGGAGTGAATCTGTGGCAGACACCCTTAAAGATCATGGGATGTCCCTCCTACAGGCCACACGACTTGCTGCAGACAGATGCCCGTGTCTCCCCGCGACACCCCAGGGTACAACCGGAAGAAAAAAAGTAAAAGTAAAGTAAGTAAGTAGTAAGGGCCCACTCGTAATCATAAATATAATCCAATAATTGCTTTGAAATTTGGTACAAAGTACAAACTAAGATAGATCTTTAGACGTACCAAATTTAAAGTATGTAGTTTGGAAGTTTTGATTTGGGATGTACAATTTGGCATTTTTGGGGGTTTATAATTTTTTTTTCACGTCGAATGAGCAAGAGTAAGCGTACATTAATATTCAAACATGCTTGTGAGTGTCTGGATAAACTACAAATATATTGTATGTTATGTATAAAAAAGACTGTTGAATACTTTCATGAATAAATAAAAATGTATGTGTGAGAAAGGCAGAGAGAATCGATTGCAGGACATGCTCAGTTGATCCGTGTGAACAAACGTGCTGAAAGTGCCTTTATGTTATTGATCCAGCAAAAGCTGGGCTCTCGCCCTTCTGTCCAATGCCATGTAGTGATAAGTGCAGGTCTGCTGCAGTTGCTGTAATGTTCCATAGAGTGTGTTGTCTATGTTAGGTCTCGGAGGGAGAAGGGTAGCTCTGATGTCATTTAGGGCTGTGCAGTGGAACAGGTGATGCTCCAGTCTCATATGCATAGTCACACAAGGGACACATTGGGGGAAGTTCGGGGTTTATTCTGTTCAGGTGGAAGTTGAGCTGTATATATGTTCTGTTCGTAGGCGGAAGATCGTGGTCTGTAAAGTGCCTTAATAAAAACCGCGATTTCTCAGTGTGTAATGACAGTAGAAACAAAATTCCAGCACCCCTCTAGGTAGAACTGGCCAGGACAATAATAAATTGACCTTCGATAAAACTTGAGGCCGTTTTCTGAAACGAAGTAACTAGTATACAGAACAAAACTATAGAACTGAGTTATCTCGGTCGTGGGATTGAACGCAGCCCGCAAGCTGATTGAGTGAGTTAAGCATAATAATAATAATAATACTAATAATAATATTAAAAAATCAAAATAATAATAGCAATGATGATGATGATGATGATGATGATGATGAAATGACGATGATGATGATGATGATGATGATGATGATGATGATGATGATGATGATGATGAAGAAGATGATGATGATAATAATAATAATAATAATAATAATAATAATAATAATAATAATAATAATCAACACCACTTAATGATAAAAGTAAAGAAATGGAGACTGTAAGCCTTTTGTTTCCTGTCGTTTTTTGACATTACTGAAATAATATAAACCACTGAACAATCATTACAGTTTTGTGAACTTACCGGAATTTTAAACAAAAAGCATCACATTGAGCCTCGAGCCAACCAGCAGTCACCACATCGACCTCTGCTTGAGACGTTAATTTGTGCTCTCTCAGCATTCGTTCCATTAAAGATAAACCCTCCAGTAGTTTCTACAAAAACACAAAGCAAAAAATGATAAATACCAGGCTTGGCAACTTTTGAGATACTGACTTCTGGAATTTTGATTGCTCCTGAGCGCCACGGACACACACTTCTGTGATAGGCTACTTTAAAAAACCCACCCATACCACAAAAACAACTCAAACAAACCAGTGGAGAGAGAGAGAGAGAGAGTGTGAGAGTGAGAGAGAGAGAGAGAGAGAGAGAGAGAGAGAGAGAGAGAGAGAGAGAGAGAGAGAGAGAGAGAGAGAGAGAGAGAGAGAGAGAGAGAGAGAGAGAGAGAGAAAGTGAGAGAGAGAGAGAAAGAGAGAGAGAGAGAGAGAGAGAGAGAGAGAAAGAGAGAGAGAGAGAGAGAGAGAGAAAAAGATAGAGAGAGAAAGAGAGAGAGGGAAAGAGATAGAGAGAGAAAGAGAGAGAGATGAGAATGTAACAGTACAGCTACTACACATATTCCTTCGTCCTCAGCATTTCTATGCCTTTTCTAAGAAAAATTTTTTAAAAATTGTTTTGGGGGGAGGAGACATCGCGCGACGATGGCAATTCTGGAATTTCCTGAAAAATGCAGGAAGGTTGGAAAGCCTGAAATACCCAAAAATGTCAGTTGCATTGCCTACCAGAGTTGTGAGAGTAACATTCAAATAATAATTAATTACATTCTCAAGCTGAAAGCAAGAAAAAAAAAGAATACTCTAAAAGTCACTCATTATAATGAAATTGTCAAGTTTCACCTTGAATTTCGTTACATCCATGTGTTTGTTAAAAGATTATGTGAGACAAATCAAATGTGAGCATTTTTCTTATCAGCAAGGATGAGAGGGGACACCTGTTCTAAGCGTATCAAGGTGAGTGTAAAGGGAAATAACCAATCAAGTCTCAAAGTGTTTTCTTATATGAGCGGTTGCTTCCCTTGACTAATGTTTTAACATTATTTTTTTTCAATACCAAGATTTAAAGGATGAAGAGCTTTATCAACATATTTAAGTACAATCGTTTCTTGTCTATTCAGATTAGTGTTTCATTGTCCAAAGCTGCTCTTATCACCTCCTGTGTTATTTGTGAGTCAAAAAAGTTGACAGAGAGCTTTTAACACTGCCTATTCACCACAAAATGCAACCCCAATTTTTTACTTCATAAATACAGAGCAAGTTGGCTTCAAACAAAAGTAATTTTCATATTTATCTAACAGTTGGCTTCAAACAAAAGTAATTTTCATATTTATCTAACGTGTCCTAGACTAATGTGGAAAACTAAACTATTGTAAAGCTATAAAATACCAGCTTATTGTTTTCTTTGATACAACGTTGAAAACTGAAGTGGTGCTGCAAAATACACCAGACTCTTGTCGAAATGCGCATTGTATGAAAAGACCAATGTATTCAAATGCATCCTGTATCATGTGATACAAGTTACTTTGCAGTGTAGGGTCTAGCATGGGACAATGTTTGGTTCTGCAAACCAGTGTGCAACTCATTATGCAGATCTTAGCCGAGCAATATCACAGTTCAGTAGTCGCTGAAAAATGGCTGTGACAAGCCTGCATTACTGCTGATGTACCACACCAGGAAAACACTCGTAATCGTGAGGTTGCGGGGTCGGGGGTTCAAGCTGCGGGCCCGATGTTGTGTCCTTGGGAAAGGCACTTTATACGAATTTTCCTCACTTCACCCTGGTGGGAATGGGTTACGGCCATAGACAGAAAAAGATCTTGTCAGTATGTTAGTGTTTTAGAGCGTATAAATGGCCGTTTGCACTGTTTGCTTCCCAGGAAGTTGGGGTTGTTTCAGAATGCTCTCAGGTCTGTTGGGGTAATAGTATAGATTGTGAAGCACGTAGAGCTTGCTGTTGAGCGGGGATTTGCGCTATACAAGTGCTAACTATTATTATTACAGCCATTATCTTCTTAATTCTGGGACAGCCATTGCATCATCCTGGCTGACCTCATGAGCAACATTCAGGGTCACCATGAGGGAAGACAGATAGGTTTCCCAGCAACAAGAAACAGTGAGCAGTGATCATTGTGATGCATAACGAATGTTTTAATGATTAATTCTAGTTACTCACGTTTCAATTTTATTGTGAGCGTTCGTGAATTTTTATTTCATTGTATATTTTTAGTGAACGCATTTCCAACTTCACTGCGAGACTGTTTTTCTCATATAGATTTTTACACATGTACATAGATATTATATGAAGAATACTTTATTTTACGTACACACATGTCGATTAATCTTTAAGATGTGATGTATTTTCCGATGTAATACGTATTGAGCATTTTTTGGGGGGGGAGGGAAAATGGAAATGCGCAGTATTATCATTATTATGAAGACCAGAAGGGGAGGTCATTCTCTAATAGAAACCAACCTACTTTAGGCTATTTATCAACATCTCGCCTCAACGGTCTCACCTGATAGTACAGCCAAAACTGTTTCTCTCGGCTGAGGCGATCCTGGGCCAGGGAATCCTTACATTGCTCTAGTTCCTGTAGTTTTTGCTCCACGACTGCAGGCAACGATCGAGACTTCGCAATCATCAACTGCTCTGACCTACTTTCCACATCTGAGTTGAACAAACAAAAGTTAGAGAAAAGGAAATCAGCTCTGGTTCAGCAATCTAAATTTTTTTTCACCCTTTCTTTTCTTCAAAGAAGGGGAAATTTTCACGTACAATTAAGCCATCTAGAAGACAGATCAAACGATACCTTATAAGGAAAGGAGCAAAAGGAAAAACACTCCTTGAAGAAAACATTACAGCCCCATATTGCAACATTATGAATGACTTTCATCCATTTCTTTCTTCATTACGATGAGGAAAGCGGTTTTCTATCAACATTTGCAGGAAAAAGCAGGCCTAAACCCTATCCGTACGTCGTATTTTACTATCATATCCATACGACGTGGGGAACTCTGGGCCACCACTTTCAAAAAGGAAATTTACTCGTTAATCCAATCCGTATGCTTTGCATAGCAGTCTGTCAAAATGATTTTTTGAGAAATACTGAAAGTCTCTAAGAGATCTTCGTACTAAAAGTATTCTAAAATGTGGAGAACACAAACCCGGGGCTATAAAATGACCTCAGGGCGTAAGGATTGGTTTAAGAAACAAAAAGCTTTAGAATACCTGCTCCATGGGGCCGTACAGCAGCAAAAGCGAACCACCACATGGTGTTGAGTTGAGAGAACAAAACAAAAACTGTTCTACATTCCCATCAAAATAAGGATTCTAGAGGCCAAATAGAGTGGACTGAATATTTAGTTTAGTTTTTGTAAGAGTTTTACAGCACTTGCCACACAATAAGGTTATATAAGTGCCGAAGATTAGAGGTGTTACAAGAGAGTAACAAACACAAAATAGAAGGAGGGGAGATAAAGACGATAGATATTTGATAGGAAAGAAGGAGCAAACCACACCAGAACACCACAATTTTTTAACATCAGGCTATGAGCCTGATCATCAAACCATAGATACCACTAAAGTGAATCTTAAATTATTTATAATGCACTATATATTATAAAAAAATAATTAATATTTTAATTAATCGTCAAATATGAAATAACAATGTAAAACAAAATCTGTGAAACACAATTTTTACCTGTGTCTCCAATGTAAAAGTTGTAGAGCTTCTCACACTTCTGTCGCAGTCTGTCTTCTATCATGGGCAGAGCCGTTTGCTGTACGGCTGGCACATGCTGGACATTACAAACAAAGACAAAATGACTTTGAGTTTGAATAAAGAGAAGCACATCGACACAATATTGGTCAACAACATTTTGTTTTAGTAAGCGTTTTACGGCACTTGCAACACAATAAGGTCATTTAAGAGCCGAAGATTAGGCGTTACAAGAGAGTAACAAACATAAAAAAGAACGAGGGGAGATAAGGATGATAGTAGTTTGATAGGAAAGAAAGAGCAAACCACACCTGAGCACTTGCCAACCACTCACAAGAATGATCATGTAGTGCAGGAAAGATAAAGAAGCAAGACATAAAGACAGACAGATACAACAGATGGAAAGAAAAGAAGTAGGTCCGACCACTTGCACCCTCCAACCACCCACACAGACAGACAGATACAACAGATGGAAAGAAAAAAAGTAGGCCCTACCACTTGCACCCTCCAACCACCTGCATAAGGTGACTTAATGTCTTGCTAACCCTGCATAGGCTAATGGGATGGCTGACAGATTCTCAGTATTTAGACTGTTTAGTTTTAGTAACGTTTTACAGCGCTCGCAACTGCAAAAGGTCATATGAGCGCCAAGGGGTGGATGTCAACAGAAAAGTCCTTACAGGGAATCAGACTCACTCTGCTCACCTCTCTAGCTTTAACAGCACAAAGTCTGCTTCGACTATCAAGGCACCCCGGAAATAGTGGGTCACAAGAGTGTGACAAACATACAAAAGAAGTAGAGGATAAATTACAATAGTAAGGATTAGGAAAGAAAAAGCAGCAGTTCCCTGTTGTAGATCAGGCACAGTTATGAGTGTGGCATTGATGAATCAGCCCATTTACAATTCTACTGTGCATGAACGAGAAATGTCCCCCCTTTGGGAATAGCATAAAGACACTTCAGTCAGTGGCACTGCCTCGGGGGGTTTATTTAAACTGTGGGGACTGATTGCAATGCAAAGGTAAATGGTGAATTGGGTTGGCTTCACCACATGCCACATGGCAGCAACAGTAAGAGGTGTTATTGCAAGAAAACAAGGTTGAGGTTATCACTGAAAGCTACTTTTAAATATGACCATAAGTTTAGACTTCTGTAACATATTTCAAGGGTATATATTTTGACAAGCGCCTGATTTCACAATGCTGCCTCAAATATAATATATATTTATATATATATGTGTGTGTGTGTGTGTGTGTGTGTGTGTGTGTGTGTGTGTGTGTGTGTGTGTGTGAAATTCAACATAAATTAAGTCTACTGGCCAGGTGTTTTTGTGGAAAATGTCATTTGTGACTTGTCTGTCATAGGTGACGAGGGTGAAATTTTTAGTACAAGAGTCTCATTTTTTTAAATGATCAACTGTCCACAACAAGTGTATGATCTCATTAGAAATGCACAAAGTTACAGTTTGAAATTGAAATTTATGCCATATTTCAAAGCCAATCTTTTGAGAATAGATTATTTGTCTACTTTGCATACAAAAAAACGATCAGTCTTTACTTAAAACAAATTTTTATGGCAGAAAAATAATTAAACATACACATTTTTTGAGAGTACAAAAACAATAATTCTATGTATAGGAAAATAATTTGTCAAATACGGTAACGTTGTTATATTTCTCAACTTCATCATCATCATTGCCTTTCTCACCGTGCACCAGGGTAGTATAGGCCATGGACACAACACTTTCCACCTTTCTCTATCCTGGGCTAGCCTCTTGATGTTATTCCATGTCTTCCCACTTTTCTGTACATCAGTTTCAGTGATTCTTGTTTCTCAACTTACATTTCTTCATATAAGATTAACATACAATTTATGGTGACTGAAAGAGAAAGGGCTCACTGTACATAAATCAACTCACTTGCGCCACAGGGTTGTGTCGTGCAATGTCCTGAGCAGAGAGGCCAAAAAGTGTCGAGCGACTGGTGGGGTCCGGCTGGAAGTTCAGGTAGTTCTCTAACTCACCGTAGGCCAACACCCGTGCCAGTATGTCTTTAAACTAACAGGAGTAGAGGTATTAGTTTGTTTTAGTTTTAGTAGAGGTTTAACAGCGTTCACAACTGCATAAGGTCTTATGAGCGCCAGAAGATTAAAGGTGTTTCAAGAGAGTAACAAACATAATAAAAAAGAAGGGGGGATAAGGACAATAGATGTTTGATAGGAAAGAAGAAGTAAACCACACAAGAGCACCCGCCAAACACCCGCGGAGTAGAAGTATGAGACAACAAGATATTAAAAGTATAGTCGAACCTGCTCTAAAGGCCACATGTTTATATATATATATATATATATATATATATATATATATATATATATATATATATATATATATAAGACAAACATCTGTAAAAACAGCCACTTCTTATTTCTCCCTTGCATTTTTAAAATTTTTAATGGCACTGTGTAAGACGGCCATCTGAGTGACACATTATGGTCCATGCAAACACAGCAACCAGCAGTTTTGGGACCACACTGGCTTAAGTAATAATAAATAGCATTTGTATAGCGCATATCCCCGCTCAACAGCAGGCTCTATGCGCTTTACACTATATTATTACCCCAGCAGACCATAGAACACTCCGAAACATTCTCAGCTTCCCGGGAAGCATACAGTGCAAGCAGCTGATTAAGCGCTCAAACATTAACAAACTGACAAGATCTTTCGCTGTCTATAGCCGAGTACCCATTCCCACCTGGGTGAAGTGAGGAAAATTTGTGTAAAGTGCCTTTCCCAAGGGCACAGCGTTGGGCCCCTAACGGGATTCGAACCCACGACCTTACGGTTGTGAGTCCGAGAGCCTAACCACTAGGCCACCGATGCCACATATTAGCCACACGCGCCATCACCATATCACCATGAGGCATGGTAAGTAGACCAAAACAGCACACACACTACCATCTGTGTAAGGACCATTATGATTGTCTTACTATATCAGTGACAATGAAAACAATACTTGCGACAACTGTCGTTAAGCTCAACAGCACACAAACATTTCAAGATGCAGACAGTCCGCAATAATGAAATTGATGAGCTTGATTCCTCCTACAACATCATCACATGCCATGGCCAAGATTGTGTGCACTAGCTTGATCCCTCTCACAATCATAATGATAAATATAAATACAATCCGGACTTGTATGTCGAAAATATTTAAAAACATGTAATACTTTTAGAGGAAAAGATCCAATAAAGTGAAACCAAAGTATTTTACAATCAGTCGCAACTTAATCAATGTCTGATTTAACAATTCTTTGTCCAGAGAGAGTGCACCAATCACACCTTAAATGAATGAACAGGACCCCTGAACAAGATGCAAGATTTTAGCAACACTGATTTCTACCAAAGACCATATGTGAGGCAGCGTGGTGGAATCAGGCTCTCGTCAAATTTTGGGCATGTAAAGTTATTGGTATCATCTTAAAGCTTGTTCACTTGTCTTTATTTGGATGTAAAAAATATCCATCAATCCTGAATACAAGTCGAGATATTTGCAAAAGAAGGAGGTGGGGGTCACCTGTTTTCAGAGGTAAAATTAGTGAGAAAATGACCGCCAAAGATTAGTTATTTCCTTAGCTTAAGAGTCTGTTGTAACTGAAAATTTACCTTTTTGTGCCTTTTATCAAAGCTTTGCAGAAAAATCCACACAGAAATGAGTTCTTCAATGGGCATAAAAGGTGTTGAGCCCAAAAAAAAATTTTATAAAAATGCACAAACCTGCGGAAAAATGCAAGTTTCTTCACTTTGATTATTTTGACGAGAGCCTGATTCCACCACGCTGCCTCACATATTATTTTCTTGAATGGGTAACCTTCACTAATATTTCTACCTAATCACAAGGAGATGAAAAAGAAAAAGCACACATCAAAGAAGAAATCTAAGTGTGTTATATAATTCAAGGCTGTACAGAAAACAAAGATTTAACTTATTATATCTCATATTGTCGCTTCAGATTCCTAAACGGATCCCTCATTTTCTGTAAATATTACAGGAAAGTGAAAAAACTAAAAAGTAAAGCTATAATACACATTTTAGCTGTTTAGAATCCAACATCATAGCAACTACAGTCAAACCTATGTAAGACGGCCACCCATTGTCAAGGAGAAAAGTGGCCGTATAAGACAGGTGGCCATCTCAGGCAGGGCTGATGAAGATGAAGAAAACAAACCCCATTCCCTATCTAAAGTCGCCGCATTATTGTTGTTTTTGTTGTTGTTGTTGTTGGTTTGTATTTTGTTTGTTATTTCTATTTTGTGGCTGATTTTGTGCAAAGGTGACAATAAAACTAAATGTGTCAGACAAGGAGGACCGAGTGCTATGGTAAAACAAACATATGGGTCGCCACCACTTGAAGAACGAGCGACGCTTCTGTCACAAGTCCATGTTGACGTCCATTGTTACTTTGTTACAGACTGGGTAAACAATGACCACTCATCTCACTTACCATTTGTGTATGAGTTCTGGGCGGGGCTTATGGGTTATGAGGGATCACATGCTTCCTTCACCAGCAGCTGGAAATTGGTACCTATTGGTCAACAGTGGGAGGGGCCTACGCAACATGATCGGATGGAGGGATTACCTAACAACAATGACAGGTGATTAGATTATGACGGCTCGCCCATCACGCCAGGGGTCAAAGCCCAATTAATGACAAAAAGTAATGGAGTCACTAAGGTGGCCGTCTAAGACAGGTGTTATTGCTTAGTGTGATAGGGGTTGTGTGTTAAAATGGTCGCCGCGGCCGTGTTGGACAGGTGCCCGGTTTCCACGGTTAAATTATATAGAAACAACGCAAGGGGGGAAATGGAAAGTGGCCGTTTGTACAGGTGGCCGTCTTATAGAGGTGGCCGTCAGGGCAGGTTCGACTGTATTTGGATAGCTTAATCTGGCTGAAAGTTATTTATAGGATGTGTTGTGTGATGTCAATCAAAATTCAGGAAAAAAAAAAAAAAATACCACGTTTTCGGAGTTACTTGTTTAGAATCCTGCAGCGACAATGATACTTAAGGTCATCACATCATAATTCGCATTTTCACTTTCAGAGTGGAGTAACCCGCCTCACAAGAGCACAATCTCTAGCACTATCAGTCCAAACTTACCTGCTTCTCACTCAAAGACAGCCCACCATCTTGACCTCTGACCTCCAGTTCAGCCAAAAGTTCTGACAGCTCACTGTGCACAAGGTGGTTCATCAGCCAGGTGTTCCGAGCTTGACTCAAGTTGTGTCTAGCCTGGAAAAGTTTTTCCTTTTAATGCAATACCAGTATCTCTTCAAATATATCAATAAAGAAGTACCTGGACACCTTTCCAGTTTAATCTAAAGCAGTCATTAGTATTGATATATCAGGTAGAGAGACAAACCTCTGAACAACAGAATTTTAAAAAACTGGTTTACCTAGGTACTTTCTTTCTCATTTTCTTTTAATTGAATATTTGCTAAAATAACAAAAGGACCTCGAGTATTATGACTCGTATTAAATAACATAAACTTAGAACATACCCTACACTAACAAAAAAGACATCCACCAAGGCAATGAGAATGAGCATTAAAACCACTTGGGTACTCAAACAATAAAGTATATAATATTAATCCAAGAACTTAGTCTACTAGAATTATTTTCTTTATTTATATGCAACTCTTCATCATGTATATATATCATCCCTCTGTGAAAAAAAAAACCCTGATCAAGAGGAGGGTCTTGAGGGTTCACAACAAAATCTTTGACACTTAAAACTCTAATGATGCTTAAAAGAATTACCTGATCTAGACTTTTTTGAAGGGGTAGGCTGGTTCCGTCTTGTGACAATCGGCTCTTGAGCTGTGAGACCAGCTCACCGAATTTGGGGAATTTTTCCAAATGATCAGGAGGTATATGAACTGGAAATGCATCAGCTGAAAGCACTATAAAAACAAGGAAAACACAGTGTACATATATATATATATATATATATATATATATATATATATATATATATATATATATATATATATATATATATATATCACCAATAGAACCACAAAGGAGAATTTTATGGCAGGGGCATATATTTTCAAATTACAGGCATAGCATCTAACTTTTTCTGAAAATCTCAGTGCATGCATCCCTCCTCTCTTGTATCTCTTCACAATGCAGCTGCTCGGACCAAAAATACTCTACACGGAGTACTGGAGCTCCGTTCACATCCTCTCACCAAGAGCCATTTCATTATCATCAAGCCTCTCAGCTGAAGATTTTTAAAAAGCCTTGGTTACTGAGCGTAACATTACCACCTTGCGATTGAGCATGCTGCATTGTCGATTTTTGTGTCACTTTTCGACATGATATAGATCTAGATCTAGATCTAGATCTAATATACTAATAACAACATCATCACATCCTATGGCCATGATTAGGACTCATACGGTGGGTGGGTGGGAGATCACATCCCCAACCACTTTCAAAATTCAGAACTTTAACAGACTCAGAATCTAACCTCCGCCTAAAAGCAACCAAGATTACCAAGGCCTGCTTCCCAAGGGAGTTGCTGTTAAGTGGACACCACAGTTTAGTTTAGTTAGAGTAGAGAGGTTGAAGGATAGGGCCAAATTAAAGGATCAAGGCCAGGATTGGTAGTTAGGGAATGAGATCTAGAGACCTAGATTTAGATCTAGATTTAGATCTAGAATCTAGATCAGATTAACTAAACTAACACTAACGGCTAGAACCTAGATCTAGAAATCTAGATATTAGACTAATTAGAGAAATCTACTCACTCTTTTGGCTTTGGGCGCTCTGGCAAACAACTCTCCCTCTTTCACTTGACTTAGACATCTCTAGATCTGTCAAGCTCAGAAATGCATCGGCATCGAAGCAATAAAAAGAAAAGTAAAGTTTACGTGTCAGAGAGGGTTACAGACAAATTAATAAAAGGCTATCGGCGTGTTTAGTCTTGCCTGCCTGGAAGACAGAAATTGAAGACACGTTCAATTCAAGTCAAAACAATCAAATCAAAATCAAATGACAAGGAAACGGTAGGCTAGCTTTACTCGGCAGCTAGCAGTTTCCTCTCTCCGGTTATTTCCGCATTCGCCGTATTGCTTTTTAAATTGAAATTAAATTGTTGTGTCCTGGTTGTGGTCGTCAATATCACTAGAGTAATAACAGACGATCTAACTTTAAAAATCAGTTACAATAGTTTTGACAGGGACAGACAAAGCAGCAGTAATAGCCATAGAACTAAAAGTAGCTACCGCAAAAGCAAAAGCAGCAGCATCAGAAGCAGCAGCAGCACCAGCTGCTTAGGCAGTGCCAACAATTAAAAACCAGTTTGCTAAAACGTTGCTGGAGCAGTTTGCTTTGTTTGTTTTGTTGTTGTTTTTGTTGCTTTGCTGTTGTTTGTTTTGTTGTTGTTGTTTTTTGGTGGGGGGTGCTTTTGCTTTTGTTTTGCTTTGTATTTGTTTGTTTTTGTGAGGGGGTTTTTT